AATTCTGAGGGAAAAAAGTCAGAATTCTGAGATTGAAGTCAGAATTCTGAGATTAGAGTCATAATTCTGAGATTAGAGTCATAATTCTGAGGGGGGAAAAAGTCTGAATTCTGAGATTAAATTCAGAATTCTGAGTGGAAAAAAAGTCAGAATTCTGAGGTTAAAGTTGGAATTCTTAGTAAAAGTCAGAATTCTGACTTTTTCCCCCATATTAAACTGAAATTATATTTAAAATCATTTAACTTTAATAATTTCATAATTTCAGTGACCCTAATCCTTTTCCGTAGGTGTCTCTAGCCGAGCATAGAAACACAGATTAACAGAGTTTTGTAAACTAACCAGCAGCTTAAAATGTAAACCAGGAGCAGAGAGAAATGTCTATAATGAAGACCCCCAGAGGCCCCCTCCTCCTGCTCCTTTTTGTCCCTCTCTATAGGGGCCATTGGGGTAAAAGAAGCAGAGCAGAAGGGTAAAACTCACCGTTGGTTCCTTTGTTGGGGACATCGTTAACGTTGAAGCCTTTGGAGCTGAACGCAGCTCGAACTTCGTTACAGTTATTCAACTTTGGCTCCGCGCTCCCCGAGGCGGACAGCACGGCCAGCGTGCAGACGACACACAGCAACAACAGCGCCTTCATAGTCAGATTTATAAAACAATAACTAAAAGCAGAGGTAAAAACACAGGTATGGAGCCAGCCAGGTGTGTGTGCGGGCTAAGGGAAAGTCGCTGCGGCTCTCCGGTTGCTCAGTTTCCTCATGGAGATTATTTCTTCAACTCAACAGAAACTTCATTCCCAGCCGCTCCAAAGACCAGCTCTGCTGCCAAAACCCAGAAAAGCAACTAGTTTTAGTTTAGAATAAAGTCCCAGACTCAACAGGAGGGAAAAAATGAGCGAAAACAGCGAGCTGAAGAAAAACCGACCAAAAAAAAAAACTTTCTCTCCAAGTTGAACAATCTCAGTCTCACACTAACTGCTCCGACGGACGGGTAACCAGGAGAGGACAGCAGACCGCGGAGGAGAGCTGGGCTTCTTCTTTTCTTTCCCTGCTTTCCTTTCCAAATTTAAAGACGCCGTGGTTTCTGCGGCTCGGGACGCTGGGCTGTTTGCGACTCGTACTGGGATCCAGATGCGAGTGAAAAATTAGGAAAAAAAAAAAAAAAACCTCCCCGGTGGACAGCCAGGAGTGAGTTCCGGGGACAAAGAGCCGGAGAGGAGGAACACCAGGGATGGAGCTGGGAGGAGGAACCCCACTAACCTGGACCTCCAGGCTCTGTCTAGACCAGAGGGTTTAACCACTGCTGAAAACCAGGACTGGATCTGAGGGTGGAGCCAAAAACACCACTACATGCAAACAACTGATAAACACAACTAAATGATCTACAGCTGGGTGATTCTACAGCTATCAAAGAATATATAACCCAGGCAGAGATAAGAAAAACAAAAACAATTTTTTTTTGTTTTTTTTGTTTTTTTTTACAGTGTCCTGTCTGTCAATCTGGCCATAAGAATAAATTTCTAGATGCCAAAAAGAGTTCACACATGTTTGCATTCACAAGAGGAGCAGTATGGCTACCACTTGATTTATGCATATAAATTGCTTTGTTATAACCCATACAGGGAGTATTACAGATGTAAGTAGAACAGGAAAAAAGAGAGAAAAGATGAAAGAAAGAGGAGACAAAAGGGAGATAACTCTAAAACATCTTCAGTCTGCTTCATCACCTGTGAAGAGATGTAAAAACTGGAAAAGCTAATCCATGCAACGGTTTTTTCACAGGTCTGCCTAAAAAGTGGATCAGACAGCTGCAGCTGGTCCAGAACGCTGCTGCCCGTGTCCTCACTAAGAATAAGAAAGTAGAGCACATCACCCCAGTTCTAAAGTCCTTACACTGGCTCCCTGTATCTCAGAGAATAGACTTTAAAATACTTCTGCTAGTCTATAAATCTCTGAATGGCTTAGCACCTAAATACATCACAGACTTGCTATCAGTATATCAACCCTCCAGACCACTCATGGAGAAGCAGCATTTAGTTCCTATGCTCCACTTATCTGGAACAAACTGAAAAAGTGCAGAAAGCCTGAGTTCCTTTAAATCAAGACTAAAAACACATTTGTTTAGGATTGCCTTCGACTGTTCTAGTTAAACAGTTCAATTGAAGCATCATTAGTTCAACTTTTTTATTTTCTTTAGTCTTTTCTGTTTCTGCATTTTTTATTTTATTTTATTCATTTTTTTCCTACTTGGTTGATTCTGTTTTATTTTCCTATATTTTAATCATGTAAAGCACTTTGCATTGTCTTTGTACTGAATTGTGCTATACAAATAAAGTTGTCTTGCCTTGCCTTTCCTTGCCTGCCAAAAGAACAGCATAACCATGGATATATTATAAGAGATACAATAAAGTATCACCTTGATACTATCGCTGAAGTATAAGTAGTATTATTTAATCTGACATGTATACTGTGGTAGCTGAAGATCAGAATATGGGCCTTCTGTATGGAAGTAAATCTCTAAGTACCTGGAACCAAGCACCTGTAGTTGTTTGTGAATTAACTTGTGCATGTAAAGTTTATCCAAAGGCAAAATGCTCAATAGTGGTTGTGAAGAGCCGAAGACGCGTCCCTCCAAAGCACAGAGGTGAGCACGGGGGGACCCAAAGCCCCAGATGCCCAAAGGGATCCAACAGCAAAGGTGCCAAGGAGGGGTCAACCTAGGAAATCTGCACAATATAAACAGAACGAAATGATAAAAACCAGATTCTACAGATATCAAATAATTTATAAATAGGGAGAAATAAGAAAAACAAAAACAAGTTTTTAATTTTTTACCCATGCTGCACTTACCAGCAGAGGTGGGTCCAGGACCCCAAAGCATGAGTAGCTCTACTTTATTATATTTTAAATACAGTAGAAATTACTCAAGTAACTCAAAAAGTATTTGGTTAAAGCCTGAAAAAAAAACAAATCAATAATGTAACTGAAATATAAGAAATCCAGGTAGAGGAAGCACTTTTTCTTTCTAACATAAAACCTATAACCCGAGTGCCTACGGTAAAAATATTTACTACTTACTGAATATTAGCTTCACCTACAGATATAACTGGAGGTACAATGAACTCTCATTATGACATAAATTTGAAAGTCATATATAAATTTCAAAATAATTCTGTCTTAAACATGTATATAAATGTACTCTTTATCAGACAACATCATCCCAAAAGTTAGAAAATTTCTATTAAAAAAATCCTGTCTTAAAATCTGTGTATTTTTTTCCCCCCTTATCTTATTCAGGCCAGTTAGTTATAGGTCAGCCTGAACACCTAAATTCAGCCAATCATATATCAACGGTGTTCTTTCAATCCAATTTTTTCAGTCATAGCGTCTTGATTCATATGTTGCACCTAATATACGCAACGGTTGAAATAAGAAATAA